TTGGAAAATGTGAGGAATTTGGAGAAAGTTGGAAAACTACACACAAGGCATATTTACAGTATTTACTCAATTATGTGTTATTATGTGTGAAAGTGATTATTGGCCTACAAACTGACAAAAATTTGTTTTAGCAAGTTTTAGCAAGTGTATGCTTGCTTGGAACTGAAAAACACCTTTCACACAAAGAAAAATAGGCCCTTTTACCATCTCAACCATTTGTTTAAGGCCAATAATAATAGTACAAAAAAAGTATGGGGTAAAGAATTAAAAATAAAATATATTGGTGTTATTAGTGCTCCCATTAAGAAAAGAAAACAATACATTGCTTTCTTCAAGTGAGAAACATTAAAGAGTCAACAGGCATTTATAAGGTCATCCTTCACTTTTTAAATCCAAGACAATGTTGTCCATAACATGATGTAAATGAATAAAGGTGCATTATTACGAAGCAAAACTTCCCAAGTCAAAACTCAAAAGATGGAGATAAATGCAGCGTGTGCCCGGATCAGAGATGAGGGTGATCTTTTACAATCATTCTCCAATGCCAAAAAAGGTTCATGGCAAAGGGCAAAGTAATATCTTGTCAAAATGCAATAAAATATTTCACAGGGGGAAAGAGCACTCTGGTGTAGGAAGCCAGACTTCAAAGTTCCAACAGTTTGATTTTGTCCCGAATAGAAGAAATATGCAGGATTTGAACATGATATTTTGATTTGATTCGACATTAATTGGTTTTGGGTTATATATTGTTATTGTTGTTTGTATACTCTCTTATCAGCAAGAAGGTCAGTACAGAGGAGTTTGCATGTTCTCTCCATCTCTGCGTAGGTTTCCTCCAGTTGCTCTGGTTTCATGGAGGGGGGAAGAGCATGCTGTGGACTGTTATCTTATAAATATAGAATTGTATTTTCATTAAGAGCAGATGGATGGCCACTCCTGAGCCACAGTGTTCGAGCCCAGTTTGTAATAGGGAAAAGGGAGAAAGCTTCACTTCTCCCATGTCACCTGTGTGTCAAACCCAGATACTTCTTTTCTGAGTCTACTGGAAGAATGTGCGTCTCTCTAAACCCCATAGACATCTGCTCTTCTTGAAAACACGTCTTGGCGTTAAAATGCAGCGTTGAAGAAGACCCCTTTGTCGTGTTTAAAAAATGTCTCTGCAAATGAATAATTACAGAGTGTGACTAATGTGATTATTATTATGTGAGCGTGTGGATCCACGAATCAAATACTGTTTTTACTCAATGCCGATAACAAGAACAATGCTGAGTCAAAATCTGACCAGTCATTCGGCTTTAGAACTATTGTGTAATGGGAAAAAGTATTCAATGACAATAATCCTATCTATGCTTCTCTGTATGTAAACATATCCCCATAGGCATCTTTTTGCTTTTGTATATATTCTAATGGTTTTATATTTTGTCAGTACATCTTATACTAATGTTCTTGAACTGTACATGGCGACCCCCGTGTGACATATGAATTAGAAGAACTAAGTATTTTAAGTAAGTACATGTAAGTAGTCTTCAATTATATAATGTATTTTACAGACCAAAATCACACAAAGTAATGTATATATTTTTCTTACCAGAAATTTCCATTCATTCCACACACAGTGAAGACAAAAGAGAGACTCTGACACACTCTGACGCATCAACACCTCAAACAAACAACATACATTCACTCGTTCATTACATTCAAACCGTTTGTAGATGTTTTTAGAGGTAGGAGAAACTGGAGCACCCAGAGGAAACCTATGCCAACATGGGGAGAACATGCAAACTCCACACAGAAAGGCCTTGTCTAGACCTTATTGCTATGAAAAAGGTCTAAAAGAAGAAGAAGAAGAAGAAGGGAATCCCACATTGAGTAAATATAAGAAAACTTTTAAGATAATAGATGGGTTGGTTGTGACTTTTTGATACAAACCAGACACATTTCAGGATTAGCATGCAATGTTGTTCGCTGCCAAATCAATTCTCAGTCGAAACTATTGTCACCGTTTTCTATTTGCTTGTAAAATGCTTGCAAAGTACAAACGGTCCAATTACTGATAACTCATTGGGGAGATGGCTCAAAGTCCTGCCACTGTCAGAAATAGAGCTTATGTTTCCAGTTATCCATTGAGCCATTGAGTGGCTGACCCAATGTCCAGGAAAAAGAATCGGAACGGAAAAGCAAGGCAAGTGTCGGGACAGATGGTCGGAGCGGTTTAATGCCCAGGCCAAACTAAAGGCTTGTGCGTCGGCAGGATAAAACTCTGGGTTGTAATCAGTGTTATGTAAACTGAGTGAGAGAAATACCACCATAGTCTCTGTCTGTGCTGCTGCTGCTGCTGCTGCTGCTGCTGCTGCTGCTGCTTCTGCTGCTGCTGCCTACACTGCTGCCTCCTCACTGTGAGCTCAGACAAGAAGGGAAGAATTAACACGTGCACTAAGACAAAAAAAGCGTAACCTTCATTGAGTAGGCAGATGGATGGATGTGGAAGCTGTTTGTTAGGAATATATTGTAGAACAGGGATTTGTAATTTGCTCGGTGGCCACTAGAGGCTGACTTTTATTATCAGGGACATTTTTTACAGCTGGAGTATCTAAATTTTGTTTTGTTTCATGAATGAATTGGTAGTCACAGCAGAAAGAGTCCTGTTTAAGAAGAATTGTGTGAATAAAAATGAGAAAGAAAGATGAAAAATATTGTATCTTTTACAAACAGAGAGCTAAATGCCTGGACAAGAGCTGGAACTCTCTTGAACAATCTGATATATAGATGTGACAAAGGTTTATTTCAAACAAACAAAGGTATTCATCAATGGATTACTCGATTACTAAAATAATCAATACTTCACATAAAGGAGCAACCACTAAGCTCCTCTAAAATAGAACCCATCCTGTGGAGAACATTACCCAGAGCTTATACCCAGATTATTAGAAGTAAATTAAACAAAATATTATACAATGCAAGTACAGGTACCAGTATGTTTGTGTTTGTGTTTGCAGAAGCCTTTTCTCTGTTTGGTGTAATGAGAATAACACACTGGACAATGCGGGAAGTTAATTGTTGAGCTGACCTTTTGTAATTTCCAATCACTTCCCCATAACCCCTCAGGATGGACTGTTACGGCTCACCAATGTACCTTTGTAAATTTCTCCTGTGTGAGATTAATAAAGTACATCTTATCTTATCTTAAAGGAACACATAAAACGTTCCAATACATCTATAGACCTTTTTTTCTCTCTTTTTATTTTTGCAGCTCCAGCAGTATGGGCTAATTCATGGCTTCCAGCATTTTGACACGCTAATCATTTCTACACCAACTCAATCCAAGTCACTACATCCGGAAAAGGTGACTGAAGTGTGTTATGTGAGATACCTTAGCAGCAGACCTTATCGAGCGCAAACATTGAGTCACTGCTGCCTTTAGAGATGGTGGATTGTGTGATGTATGGAATGTGTTTCTCAATTTGCAGAATAAAAGAGTTGTTTTCAATGGCAGAAGCTTATAAAATGGACCCGTGCCCTAAGTACCTTTTTCAACTGGATTGAAAAGCTGCTGGAACTTCTTTCTGATTGTTTTTTTTCTGCGCAGTGTGGTGAGTTTGTGAACTTTGTACTTTTTCCGCTGCAAAATAGCAAGTAATTTGGAAAGGGCTTCTCAAACGGGTTGAATAATTAGGCATGTGTATTGAAACGATTGTATGAGAAGGTTGTATAAGTGCCTATTTTACGTTTTGCAAAAGACAAACAGAGCAGACATGGGCTGTTTTTAGAGATCAAACAAAGGTGACTGCTTTGTGATGTTTGGATTATCAGAAAAAAAAAATACATTCAGCAGTATGAATCTGGTGAGATGTTTGCCTCTAAATTCAACAGCTCAACGGGGAAACATTCTGGGACACGTGTTTGCTCAGATGAAAACATGATGATATTTTTATCCTGTGCTTTTCATACGCTGTCTCGTGTTTGATTTGTTGTTGTGTGTGTGTGTTTGTATTGCAACGTTTACCTAAATCAATCAGATGAAATTATGGAAGTATATTCATAATATTAATGCCTGAACTTAAATCTTGGTCAGAAAAGGAATAACTACAACCATATTTATTCAGGGCCTTAAAGCTGGCAAATCTAACCTTCAAGTAACACAAAAAAGGTGTATAATATAAACAATCTAAAGGGTCTTAAAGCTGGGATACCTTACTTTCAAGCCATAAAAATTGAGCTAATCTATATTATCATAGAATCCACCTCTCTCGCTCCTCACTCTCACAACAGTTGGGTTCTATCACTGTTTTTCTCATGTATGTTAGGCCCCTGTCACCTCTTTAGATCAGCTTTTTTCTTTCAGCCCAAAGCGTCTATGACTCACAGGTCTCTTTCTTCCATGTCAAAGATAAAATGTTTTGTAAAAGGATGAAGATGAAGCATGGTGTGGTCTGATTTCTTCACAAGATTACGTTTACTACACACACGTATGCATTATCCGTTGAAAAAAAAAGAAGTTAGGTCCCCCAGCTTTAACAGGGGCTAATCAGTCAGGACTTCTTTCCCCAGACTCTTGGGCGGAGAGGAAACAGTTGTAGCAGGTGGTGTCAGGAATACAATAGCGAGGGGTGCTCTTGATATTCCACTGCTCAGTTCACGATACGAGCGATTATTCGCCCATAACCTGCACATCTCTCATCCAAATTACCTTCATCCATCTCCTGCCTTTTCTATACGCGCGTCTCATCTCCACCGCGGATCCTGCTCGCCTTATACCGAGCTCACTCTGTGTCTATCTGTAATTGACAGTTTCTGTTTTGCCACGCGGCGTGAGGACTGGAGGTTATTAAAACGCGTAAAAGGGGAACGCCACACTTTATTCCCGACGCGTGCGCTCGCTCAGCCTCATCCTTCTCTCTCTCACACTCACCCATCCCTCTCCCGCTCCCTCTCTCTCTCTTTATATCTCCCTCTATCTCTCTCTGCGCGCTCACGTACACGCATGCGGGCACGTGTTGGTTATGCATGTCGGCACGTGCACGCGCCTAAGCACCGGGCACATCATCATCATCATCATCATCATCACCAACACCACCGACACCACCGACACCGCCGCCGCCGTGGAGTCACATGCAGTGGTTGCGTCTGAAGGATGGGAGCTTAAGAGGAGCGTGCCCAGTGTATAACTCCAGCATTCCCATGGCAGAATATAGCGTTGTTTTTCTGCTATAATAATGTGGCTATATTTATACAACGCACGCGCACCTGCTGCATATATAGTCTTATGAGTTTGGGATGTGAGCTGTACATTGTTGTATCAGTCGAAAAAAAAATGTCTTATGATTTAGGTGACACAACGTCTAACTTGCTCATATAGCATCGTGGTTATACACATAGACATCATTTCTATACATGTTTTCTATGCAGGACACCTCTATGTTTCCGTGAGACACATTTCGAGGGGAGGAAAACGCATTTTCTAATTGACCTATTAAGATTTCCATAGATTTTACGCATTGAATTTGGCCATTTTTACGCATGAGAGCAAAGACCCGTCTCTCATAATAACTATTAGTCTTGGTGACAGAGCAAACGGAGCACTGCAGACCAGACTGACGTGACTATACACACTGCCGGCTCTCTCCCAGTGTGAGGAGAAGAAAAAAGAAAAAGAAATTGGAGCAAAGAAAACCGCGTCTCCAAAAAGGCGTCCTTTTAACAGATCAACAGCTGGGCTTCACACACTCACACACACACACACACACACACACACACAGAGACTCGGACATATACGCGCATGGGGGAATTGTATTATAGCAAGTGCTCCATCCTCACTGATAAAATAACGTAATCTTAACCAGGACTCTAACTTGCTCAAATATCTATCTATCCACTGCTTCCCCCTGCCTGCCTGCATGCGCGCTCCTCTCCCCTCGCTTCCTTGCTGCACTCTCCTACTCGCGTCTTCTGCCCCTCGATCGTCCGCTCCTGTCTCTCTCTCGAGCGCGCCGTTGCCTCAGTGCGTGCACGCTGTAATAAGCAGCAGTAGCAGCACACAGAAGATTTTGGGGGGTGCTGCAACCATAGGCACACGGCTTGGCGGCTTCTTTTCATGCCAAACGCGGAGGGCTTTGCATAGCACTGACGAGGAGCGAGAGGAGACTTTATTTTATTCATTTTTTTTCTTTATTTTGTTTCTACGAGGACTCCTGCAGCCGGTGAGGGAACTATAACATTTTTTCTGCACTGCATTTCTTATGTGCTCTGGACGCCTGTTTATGTCCTATTGCCTGTGTGTGTGTGCGTGTGTTGATCAGTGTTAGTTACTTACATGGCATATATAGAGCTGCTTTACTGTGGCATAGATTCAAGAGAAAACCGAGAGTGAGAGACTAGGGATTCCAGCCGCAAATGTAAGAGGATTTTTATTTAGCAGCCACTGTAAAAGAGATTAGGGGCGACAGCGGCAGTGGAAGTTGAATTGTGCTGCATATAACATGGGCGGGCTGGGCTTATACCACTACAGTCCGTATAGCGCTGCGTTTGGATGCGGCGCGCTCCTGGCCATTACCAAACACGATGCCTGTTGTGTTACGCTGCGTGTTTGGACCTAGTTAGGGGACATTTATGTTGCCGACAGACAGAGTTGAACTCGTGCTACAGCAGCAGCAGCAGCAGCAGTGGAGGCAGCACAGGCACCAATGAGCAGTGAGAGAGACCTGCGCATATCGTCAGCAGCCGCTTCTCGAGCCTCAAGCGAAAATTCGTCAGATGTGAGATCACACAGGAGGATTTTGCCTCATTCAAACCGGGTTAGGATTCACTTGGAAAAGTTAAAAATAAGAGGACGACGCAAACCTTTGGAATCTGGCGTAAGTGTTCTTTGAATCCATCTTCATGCGTAAAAGCCGACAGGATTATGTGTCTTTTACTTTTTTTTTTTTACTGCGAGGGCAACGGGGGGAGTTGCCGTCGAAATTAAGGTGCATATTATGGCTCGGGTTTGTTTGATGCTTTAGTGACACAAGCACCAAGGATGTCTAAATAGAAATGCCCACGCCAAGACACATTTGGCAAAACAGAGCGAAATGGTACCATCCGTGCATTGAAGACGCATCGATGCCAGTTGCATTCTAAATTCGTGTAGCCCTCTTCTTTAAAACATCACCCAGCGGTGTTCCCTCTGAATAACTTGCTTAAAGAAGAAGTGGGGGATTTGCTGCTAATCTGCACCATTCGCACTTCATCTCATTCCTGTCCAACAAACCCCGGATTTATCTTTTCATTTTATTGCATTTCAAACGTGGCCACTGTGCGTCTTGGAGCATCACATCCGACTCCTCTGTAGAATCACCAATAAGTAAGTCCACTCGTGTAGCCAGTGTATGCGGCTTTCCTATCCGGACCACAGCACCAAAAGAGAGCCGTATCTTTATTCTTGTGCACTGGAGGGGGCTGACATCACCGAAGCTTAGTGAATGTGAGGAGAAATAAAATGCTGTTATTTTCGGTATAGGGGATTTTGATATTGCGGTTGCGACGCGTTTCACATTGCAGGGTATTAGAGGAGGAAGGAGGTGGGGTGGTGGTGGGGGGATGCTGTGTACAGGTGCTACAACGCTACACGCGCTGCTTGCTTGACCGCGATGGAGATGCTACTGCTTTTAATTATGACACAACATGGACACAGTGTGGCGTGACGCGTGCTGCTGCCTTGCTGTCTTTTTGGCGGTTTATAAATAACGTTGTGCTGATGTGTTGTATACTGTGGGCCATTCAACCTGCCACCTACTTCAAAATGATGATGTCAAATGTTTAATATATAGGGATGCCTACGTGCAGTGGCTTGTGATGGGCCAGTGCATGCGCCTAGAAATGAATTTGTATGCAAAATGTATGCACTCTTGATCAACAGTATGACTCAGGGTTGTAGACACTTTTCTCTCACATCATTTTTTTCCCATGTTGATTGTGATGTGCTTTTTTGTTTGACCTCTAGCACTGACAAGTCCTCATATCAGCGAGATGTGTGGACGGACCAGGACGGCCCTGTTGTGTCTTTGGGCTTTCTTGCTGGGCATCAACACTGTACTGGGCGGAGGGTAAGAATATACAATTTGTTGTGCTGTGATTGCATGTATGTGTCTTTATTTAGACAGGGACTTTCTGTGAGAGTTCAAGTCTCTGTTTCTCATGGACGCTCTGTTTCAACACAACAACACACATAAACACAACACAAATCAGTTAAAAACACGTAAAGTTGTGTTCATAAATTCAAATACCAAAAAATGGACTTGTGAATGTATCACCATAGTGTCCAATTTGGCCGTTTTCTCTGATTTGTATTTTGTATCTTGTGATCTTGTGTTTAGGAAACTAGGGTTAATGTCCTTTATCAATAAATGTAACTGATAATTACTAATGGACAGTGTGGGAAAACCTATGCACTTTCAAAAAGTACCAGTGATGAGTTTTGAACCTGTCGCCAGAGATAAAATGAAGGGCAGAATCTATCTCAAAACTTACGAGCCGAGGTAGAAGCTTGGATAATATAAATAATACAAACAGAATCTAAAACAGAAAGAGCAAAATTGTGATGGATTATTCCCTATAAAGCTGTAATGATACTGTAATTGAATCCAAGCATCCAAAAGTTACCATTATGCATGGAGTACGGAAACGCTTCCTATTTCCGTCTGGTCAACGTCTTGTGTTGATGCACATGCCTAAGAATGAAATCAGTAGTGTATGTTTGTCAACTTCAAACTCAAAATACCAATTAAAAAACATATGAAATATCACCCAAACCGCCATTTAATCCCAATTAGGGTTAGTCCTTCCAATGTGCCTATAATTAGACGAGCCTATATTTTGAGAACCACGTGCGACTAGCCAAGTGTCATCGCATGCTGTTAAAGCGTGAAGAATGACCTTTTCATGCTGGGATAAGGCTCATTTCTTATCAGCCAACCTGTCCAACAGCCCAGTAAATATGTCACTAAGTCATCCAGTCGGGGAGGAAGCCGAGAAGGACACACTTTTGCTCACCTGGTCGCCGACTTTATGTAACGCTGCTCCACAAAGACACGTTTTTGCGCCGATGGCATCCCTAAAGCACATCTGCTTTACATTTGTTTATAACCTGGTGGGGTTGCTGTAGCTAATTATCTGCACCCCTACTGTGCGATGATTAGCATATTGATATTGCTTATGTTTTGTGCTGGGTATCAAACCTTCATCTATTCAAGTTCAGGAGTGGTTTCATGCATACGGGAGTAGCACCTTTCAGTTGTGCCAATATTGCAACTACAGCATCTTAATATATTCATTTGTGTTTAAAATACTTAGAAAATGTACAGCACATTCAGCATCTTTGGGGTTTCAGTGACAGCTATACATTAGGGCAAAAATCCTTCATTCCATGGGCGGTGATGTAGCCATAGGTGACCTGAGACAGACGGCCCGAAGCGAGGCTGCCAATCTGACATCGGCTTTCTTCGACAGCAATCTATTGTCCTTGCCCACACCGGGGAAGATGAGTGAAGTGTTGCGACGAAGGGCACAGCTCAACCTCACTATTGTACTATTGTATATTTCGCTTTGTTCGGATGTCCCTCAGTGAGATATACTTATGTTATCGTACGATCTGTAGCTTGGTCTATTTCTCCAATGTACATAGATAAGTTTGACTCTATACTTACATTAGAGGGAAATATGTGTTTTAACATAGACGAAGAAAAGTAGCAGACCCTCCGCCAAAACCTTATGAGATCTATGGCCACTTATTTAGATTTGATGAGATTGGGCATTGACAAACAAGTATAGCCACACATTACTAGTGACATGATCAATTTATTAGTACAGGCTCATATTTTTGGATTGGAAGACAGTGGGGACATTTCAGTGTTGCATCTCAAGTTATAGAACAGTAGGAAAGAGGAGCACACGGCACAAGTTAAGTGAACTTGTGATAACGGATCTGCGACTCTCCAAAATCTACCTGTGCACCGGCTCCCATTCTCAGATAGATGAGTTGTGTCCTATCCATGGAAGTCCCATGCAATATGCAAACTGCTGCAAACTTGAAGGCAGATTATTTCCTATGGGAGGAGAAAGACAACATGAAACAATATAAAACCTTGTAGGATGAAAATTGCATTTTGCTGTTGGGCCTTGCTTGGACAGCAAGTGGCGTTGTGGTGTATTGCAATTGGCTACAGCTGTGGTTTTGACAATGGCTGCGGGCTTGGACAAGGCTAATGTAAAGACACACTTCTCAATGTCAACAGTGAGGTGTCAGATGTCGCCCTAACAAGCAGCAGACGAGCCCCCGCTGGAGACCATCTTGAGCGAATGAATGCGAGTTGACAGGTGGAAGTCATGTGACCGCAAATGCATTGATTCAGAGGCGAGGCATGCACGGCGTTTGCATGTCTGGTTTTGTATTCTTGTAATCTTAACAGTGCAACACACCTTCCTGGGATCAATTCTGACATTTAACCAGAGAAATCTCATCAATTGACAACTTGAAAGCAATCATTTATAGTAGATACAGGACTTAGCTGCTTTGCTGAATTATTTAGCGCACAAGCCCTCGGAAGTTGAAGGTGTTGACGTGAATGGTGATGAATGAGGATTGGTTCGTTCGTACGTCTATAACGGCTGAACAAAATGAACAACAAAACATGCATTTGCCGAAAGCTTGAATGGCTCTGAAAAGGCATCAAACATCAATGGATTCTCGTCTTTGTTCAATCTATGATAATGAGTAACATTTGATCCCGTTTGATCGATAAAGATTAAATGAACGGACTGGCAAAGGCAAAGCGTGATGTCGCAGAGTGTGTGGTGGTGAAGCATGGACATATTAAAGAGGGAATTGGAAGAAAATAGATACATTCTGCTGAGGGACTGTCACTGCAAACGGCAAAGCAATTATCGCCAAGAGATTTACTGTATAATCGAAGCTGCTTTCTGAAGTGGGATTCGCAAAGGCACATGCAAACCACACCTTTAGGGATTTCGAGCAGACACTGTAATCAGGAAGCCGTAGCGTTCTCCTGTACGGTTTGCTGCCAACCGAAAGAAATGTACTTATAATTAAATATCCGCCAGCAGAACGGTGTTGTCAAAGCAATGGGCAAAGAGGAGACCAGGCTGAGCATAAATCAGGCAAAGAAAGTAGCATTTTCGGAACCAGGAAAAAAAAGGAGCTAAATGTACATTTATTTTGTACTAAACCAGAACAAAAAACGTTTGGGAAAATAAGTTTTGTTTTGCAATACATTTCCTTTTAAATGCATTCTAATATTGTCCCCTCATCAAAAGCAGACATATAATTGTTTTTTGTCTCCCTTTTATACAAAACAGTTGCCTTTACATTATTTTGGTAATTTCTCCAGTTACTATGCATTCTTTTAAACCCTGTGTATCAATTTTGACTTTGACCAATTGGATTTCGATCTAAATTTGGTAGAATATAATTCCCATCTTCTACCACAAAATGGTAGTGTTGGCAAGTTTTTAATTACTCCAAAGCTTATTTTCATTAATTTATTTGATATTTTATAGTTCCTTGAGTTGTAATTAAATACATCAACGATCATAAATATTCTCTTGAGAATGGAAAGTCACAAATATTGCATATTATTATTATATTCATTTTTTACTTTTTTTTTTTTACTATCAACAACACTAAGCCACAACCTAATAGTGCTAATAAAGCTGTGTCTGAACAAGCATCAAACCCAGTCTACATTTTGTTTTTACTTGAGCATGAGTATTATTTCTTGTGGCGTCAACAGTATCAAAACATTTCAAGCGTCTTAATTTTACTCTGACACACAAAATATAATGTGACTATAACACATTGTGACTAAACAATGGAAGGGATCACATCTGCTGGGCTTAAGCGATGACTAAACAATCTCAGGACAAGGACTAGACCAGGACCAAAGTGTGACTAAACCAGTGAATGAGCTGATTGAAGAAAATAGCCTCTTAAATGATATCAGTGCATGATGAGAGCGACAGAGGAGCCAGCCATAACGAGGGAAGACACTGAACAATGTTGGCGCTGTTGGTGTGAAAATGACCTGTACACTCTAAAAAAAAATGCATTGGCAAAACTTAATAAAATTGAGGCAGCATTTTGCATGCATCTTTTTAAGTTTTGCGAACAAGACTGTGTTTTAAGTATTCTTTGTAAGTCTTTTATCATTGGTCCAGCACAATTTTTTCAATACCACCAACTTGGATAATTGAGTTATAAAGACACTTTGTTAAGTATATTCAGCAAGTGTTTTAGCATCAGTTCAACTCAATTTTAACAATACTACCAACTTAAATAATTACATTGAAAATAAATCTTTTTGAGTATATTCAACAAGTGATTTTCAGTCAGGAACACGTAATCTTTATTCAAATTCCATCTTTCAAAGATTAGATTCACACAATGGTTCACAATTGTTAATTTTAGGCAGTAGTCTCTCACTCCACATATATATGAGAGTGGGCCAGCACAGTCACTGGTAAACATGTCCACCTTAAAGTATTTGTTCAAAATTGAAGGGTGACACAGGGAGTATAGGACTGCTTTGGCTTGGCCCTCTCGATCATGGTTGATAAAAATAAATACAATTACTTATTTGGTCAAATTAGTTTATTCAGAATGTTGCTCAAGTATTTTGCTTTTGGACTTGCTTCATATTCAGTTTTAAAATTAATGCTCAAATGTAGAATTTTTAAGAAGTTTATATTTTTCGCTGCAATGCATTCTGGGTAGGGTCACTGCTTCGCCACATTTTGTTTTCAATCAACACAATATATTTATTTTGAATCAACTCAATATATTTATTTTGAATCAACTCAATATATTTGTTTTTTCATTAATGGGCCACCAGGCTTACAAGAGGATTTTCATGTTGAGCAAACTCAATACTTCTCCGTTGTCCAGTTCTGCCAGATTATCAAGTTCAAATTTGTTACAAAAATGAGTTAGGATTCTTGTATTAACTTTTAATTGAGGCGGGCATGTTTAAAATGAGTTGCGACCACACTAATTTAAGTAAAACTGGCAAAAATCAATTATTGAGTTTAGTTT